GGCCTTCCGCGCCAAAAACATTACCATTAAAGGCACCGATGGTTAGGAAAGAGAAGGTGATTTCTGCATCAGTTGCTAAAGGTTCCATGCCCAGTTTGCACAAGCCACTTCACTCTAAGCCGGCACCATCTGTTCATAAAAAACCTGTGGCACAGAAAAGGGATGATAGAGAATCTAGCAAGGGAAACGTCATAGCTAAGAAGCCTGTCTTATCCTCTAAGCCTCAGGTACTTCTCTTTTTGGAACAGGTTAATTCCTTTGTGGGGTGTTTCTTTTTGTACTTCAAATCAAGTGAAATATTGTGTCGTAAAATGTCTTCTGATTTGGTTGTAAATCTGACAGATAAAGCAACAACCAGCAAAGCTTCCACCTAGTGCACAGCAGAAGGAGCGTCTAAAGAAAAGACCAGTGCGGTCATATTCAGATGATGAACATGATGATAGAGCCATTAGTATGATTAGAAGCATGTTTAGGTAGGGGTTAGCTCTATTTGTCCTCTTTCTTGCATTTAAAGTTCATCTGATAACTGTGAGGTAAAAATCAGCCTTGAAATACTGTTTTCTTTTAGTTCATTACATTTGAGTTTCAAAAGTCAAAACACAGGCCTTTTCAAAGTCAATTTGATGAGACATATTTAGCATACTATTACTTTCATGCTGGTTCGTATTTAGTTCATTATGGTTATTTATTATTTCATCTTTGGAAAGCAGTCTTCAAAAAATCAAGCATGAGACCATATGTATATGTGATCATATTTTTTTAAAACTAAGCATGAACCTGGTTACAATTTATCACCCTCCTGACTAATTTAATTTTTTGCTTCAAGACATGTTTGATAACAAAATTGGTATCCTATTTTGCAGATATAATCCCAGCAGATATCGTGGTGTTAATGATGATGATGATAGCGACATGGAGGCTGGATTTGATGACATTATGATGGAGGAGAAACGCAGGTCAGTTTCGTTGCAGAAGTCTTTGGGTAATTTGGATTTAATTCTCGTGGTGATCTTGTTGTATGGATCCATGTTTTTACACCCATGTGTGGTTCTTGCCTACATGGGCCTTATAAGTCTGATTAATTTTTATTTGGTGCATGCCTAAGCTTCTATATCTATTTGAGCTCATTTTATCTGCTAACAAAATGGCTGTATCCCCACTGTCCCACATTTATCCTCATATAGCATGTACACATAGCCATGAATGAAATTCTTTA